GGATTGTGTTCTTCAACCAAGCAGTGTCAGTACTGGAGGAGGGGTGGACACCACAACACCTGGAGCACAGGTCTAGTGTCCACAGTGCCTCCGGCTCACGGCTCCACTAATGCACCATCCTCTGAAAGCATATTACGGTTGGCTGTTTATGTAAATTACAAACCTTAAGTGCCAGACGTGGGCGAGAGGAAGGGTGGAAAATGGCTCGGGTCCTCGGACATAATGACACTTAGGGGTAACTACAATAAACTCAGGTGTGTGCTTGTGTAAACAGACACGTTCGTCCAGCCCCCACGTATCTTAATGATATATATATATATATATATATATATATATATATATATATATATATATATATATATATATATATATATATGTGTGTGTGTGTGTGTGTGTTTACGATGGATAAAAATACAGCGTCAATATAATTTTCTATAAATGGATGATGATTCTAGGTCAAGCCGTGTTCATCGTGCCTCTGTTGAACCATGAAGTGTTATTAATGTTTCGTTCCTCCTGGAGACTTATAACGGAGTCAGCTTTTACTGTAAGAGAATTATGAACAGCCGTACGGTTTATCAATGCAATGTACGAAATATTTAAAAAAAAATATACTGTACTGTACAAACAAAGATCAAACGATAGCACTTTGAAATCGTCTAAAACTATGGTGATGCAATTAACGTAAATATTATTGCTAAATATATATCATTACGATAAGTTGGTTATAGTTCTACAATTTATCAAATATATGACAATATATATTAGATGTTTAGTTACGATATTTAAAATATTGGGTGTTCATGTTGAAGGCATGCTTTTCTACAGTCACTGTTTATTGATGATGTCCCTGTGGCATATTTTCTAAATGTGTACGCCCTCAGCACCACCACCCTCACCCAGTCAGCCCACCAGCGGTACAGCCAATCATGGCCCACCTTGCGCGCTGGCAGTTGTGAAGTCGCACATTTCTAAGACAAATAATCTGCCTTACAGTGAAGAATAATTTATATACGTGTACCCAGAGGCGTGTCCAGGACATTTTGAATGGGGTGACCAAGGTGGGGCACAGGCTCGGTGTGTGTGTGTGTAAGTGATAGAATTGCGTAAATACAGTGGTCTGGTTCAATGAATTTAATGCTTCAAGTTAGGTTTGTACCTCTTCCTATTGAAATAATTCATACATCAATTTCAAAACTCATGACATTTTCTATTTCCATGTTTGAGCTCAAGGCCAGGATGATATATTAAGAAAATGAGCATACAACACAACACTAATTTCACTTTCAAAGTTTTCTAGAACTGTAAAGTAAAATTACTAGAATAGTACCAACTTAAACCAGTTGAAGAATAAACATAACTCAAGATGCGTCTGCTGTTCAGTTTTTCACCTATCATATTTTCAGGGAATAAAAAATGCATTTTAGCTATTCAAACAAGCCTCTTCCCAACCAGTACTGTCCAAATGAGGTCACACCGCAGTAACCTAATAATCATCTAAGAGTAAAAAGGATACATGGTAAGGTAATTATCCACTTAACTCCGGTTTATTGAATATAATATAAATGAAATATAAATTAAATTTCAATAATGAACACTGTTTAAAATCGCACTGTAATACATAAGGACAAAAAGAACAAAATCCACAAAGTTCAAAGCCACAACCCTTATATTGCAAAGCTATATACTGTACACCTTTACAACAGCTGAATTCGCCTGTTCTCGTGCTGGATAGCGAGCATTTTAATAAACTCGTCCATGTCTAATGACTTAACTCCTCTAGCCTCAATGCTGAGAACACCCAGGTTACTCAGTCTGCTGTCCGCCATAATTGTGCGCAAATAGCTCTTTGTGAGTTTTAGAGCTGAGAAGCTGCGCTCACAGGCAGCGCTGCTTACTGGGAGGGCCAAGGCAATTCTGAACAGACGGAACAGTTCATTAAAGACCTCTTTGTAGGGCTCTAGGAACACCTGTAGCTCTAATACACTGGACAGCTTCTGCATTCCACTTTGAGCTTTTTCCTCTCCGAAATCCTCTTTGCTTGGTGCAGCTCATGGCTGAGATCTTCAACATCACACTCAAAGATCTCTGCTAAGCGAAATACAGCTTCCTCCTCCAAGAAACTCTTGTTCATTGGGTACAGGGCATGTATTCCTTTCATGATGTCACAATTTGGTTTAGAGAAGCGTCTCTGCAACTCACAAACAATTGTGTCCACGATGGGGTAGAATATCCTCCTCCCTAAGCTGTCTTTGTCACCAACATTACATCTCCGCTGACCTATTGTGGATGTTACAATAGACCCATCCAGTCTTCAGTTGACTTTTGTGACCTCTTAGCATTTTCAACAGCAACATTGCACTGATTAGCAGTGTTTACAATGCCTTTTCATGGCTCCTCAACAAATGACGCGTTCCTGTACTTCTGAATTGTATCCTGAAGTGCTTCAACCAAATCCACCGCCCTAGCTAGGCAAAGCAAAGGCAATTGTATCATGTCTGATAGCAACTTCGTATCCCCAAGGAGTTTTCGAAAACTTGCAAGAAGACCAATAAATGTGAGGTGTATTTGTGTAAAGAAACCTCGAGCTTCTACAGATCTGTCTCCATTGTTTTCAAGGTCTATTTCATGCAGAATACGTAATATAGCAGGTAATCTATGCATTAGCTTCCTGCAAGCCAAGTACCTACATGCCCACCTGGTGTACAAGCCAAGTACCTACATGCCCACCTGGTGTACAAGCCAAGTACCTACATGCCCACCTGGTGTACAAGCCAAGTACCTACATGCCCACCTGGTGTACAAGCCAAGTATCTACATGCCCACCTGGTGTACAAGCCAAGTACCTACATGCCCACCTGGTGTCGCTAAGTTTTCGCAATTCCCTGGGCTCACCTTCATATATTTCCCTCTGAACATCCATCCACTGCTGGTGCACATAATAAGTTCAATATTCAGGCACTCAAAATTACAACGACTATTTGAGAATATTAATTTCTGCCTAAAAAATCATTGCACGCGGTCGGCGCCTGTAAACAGAACTCCTGGCTTCCCTCAGCTGACCACAACCATTTTCTTCTTTTCATTAATGGCAGACATAACAGTGTGGACCTCATAATAATTATTGCGTTGCGCTCGAAGTTGATTTAATTCATTTGTTCAACGACCTATCACCGTAAACATCTCACCACTTCTGAGTGGGGTGGGGGGGCACTGGGGTGGCCAATAAGATTTCAGGGGGTGGGTTACCCCAGGCCACCCCCTGGACACGCCACTGCGTTTACCTAACCCTAGAGAGATTTAATTTATTTAATTAATGAAGACTGAAAAGCCAGAGGGACTTTTCTCTGATACACTCTGCGCACTCGTAAATAGATTATTCTTCGCTTCACTGCAGAATATTTGTCTTAGAAATGTGTGACTCAACTGCCAACGAGCTGACTGGGTGGTGTTGCTGAGGGCGTATACACTTGGAAAGATATGCGTCCCAGCGTCATCGCTTACGTCTCGTAAGCGATGACGCTGGGACACTGGCAACGCGGTCTACACGCCATCATGTGGTCACACTAGTGACTAGAGTTTCTACCCAGAATAAATCCACTGTAGCGTCAAGGAACTCCTCAAGTTGTCTCTACAGCGACAACTTATTTGTTGTCGAAAGTAGGACGATACTGAGCTATAGAGTCTATTGGGTAATTATAAAGGACTAACATATCACAACTCACTGACGAAAATAATGCAAGAAAATAAACAGTAATGAAAATAACTCGTCGGCGGGTTAGTCCTATATATTAACCTTAATAACAAAACACGAGCAAAAATATCACAAAGTAAATAAAAAAAATAATACATCACGACGGGAAATTTCATTTGATTCTAAGAGTACTGCGTCACTTTTGTAAACCAACATCGTACGGAAGCTACAGACGCACACCAAATTTCCGTGATAGATACCGCTACCCACAATCGTTTCTTTGTTGTCTTGTGTTTCTTTAACAGGACCACACATCTCACTAAAGCAGTTAATGCTGCCATAGAAACGTACAATGAAGCCATCCTGCTCTCCAATTGAGCTAAGACTATAATAGTAGCCTGCTAGCCGCGCGACTGGCCGATGGTTCCTTACGCCAGTGTGACCAGTGTGCGGATCGTACTATTGGTTAAATCGTGGATTTATTGCACGGAAAACTCTAGTGTGACCGTAGCTTTACAGTGTATTGTAACTCCAGAATTAGACAGGACAACAACATTACCGTTTTCAAGTCACCATCACAGAGCAAGCATCTGTCCACCATCACTTTTCTCTCTCCATCCAGCCAGATTTATGGACCTCTTCTTACCACATCACAACTAACTAAAACTAATATAAGAGTGTACTCGTAAATAATGCTTTTACGAATAATAATACGACTGGTCACCAAACTTCTCAAGGTAAATAACACAACGCAAATATTCTACTACTTTGCCCCGCCATTAAACGATCACATAGTACCCAGCTTCTTCCTGGCATTACCTTGGGTAAGGAAAGCAATAATAATAATATTATTAATAATAATAATAATAATAATAATAATAATAATAATAATAATAATAATAATAATAATAATAATAATAATAATAATAATAATAATAATAATAATAATAATAATAATAATAATAATAATAAGGGGGGTTTACTAGACTCAAGTGAAACATCAATTATACTATCAGTAACTACTGTTGTACCAAGCTACAGTACACAGTGGGTGCCAGGACCTGTTCACACCCACTAATACAACACGACCTGTGCACCCATCAACCTCAGCTGTACTACAACACAGTAATCAACTTCTCTACTCCATCAACTGTAAGTACTACAACACAGTAATCAACATCTCTACCCTTTATCATGAGACAGGTAGCCCATCAGGTTCTACCAGACACCTGACATAATACACAGGTGCTCACACGTCAACACTACGGTACTAGTACTTCCTGCGACTCAGTAACTAGTGTGTTACCTTGCCATCCTCGCCCTCCTAGTATACGTAAGAAAAAAAGAGAAAAAACAAGGTTATTTACACGGTAGCCACAGAATTTGATAATCACCCTCGCGTTTCGGCCAATCATAAATGAGTTCTAACATCAACCTTTTTTTCTGGTTGGCTGGTTTGAAGGCTACCGTCATAAATTATATATTCATGAATAAGAGAGATGTAAACACAAGCTTATTCTTACATAGTGTAAATTCAAACACGAAATAAAAATATTTTATAAAATAGATTAAAAATAGAATATAAGGAAAACTGGTATAATATGAGAAAATCTATGTAATTTTCAAGATTAAAAGGAGACTAAAGGATCTGAGAATTTTTTCCTCTACAGGACAAACAGTGCCCTGATCCACCCAGACCAGTATTGTACTGGGATTTGTATGAACCCGTTAAGACTTGGCAATAATCACGTCGAGAAAATTTAGGGGTTCTGTGTCACAACAAACACCAATAACTGTTGCAATGCCACACTCGCTGTTAAATTTAACCACCTTGCGCTATTACTACTGGCAATCAATCACAATTTAATGTTCCTTCAGACCAGTAACCTGACAACTGCAGTAGCGACATAATCATCTTCCACACTATCCCACCATTCTTACAAACTGACGAGTCTCTGCAACAATTAGTACTTTACATGTTGCATCAGTCCTCTGGCAAATCACCTTAATGCAGTGCATAGTCACTCCCACAGTTCAACTGTAATTACTGAAACTTCAAACGACTAACAAAGTGCACTATCAACATTGCAATCAAACAAATCCATGTAACTTTATCATTCTGCACAGAGTATTATAAACCTTGCAATCAGAAATATCCCTGCAGCGTAACAATCTGGCACATCGCACTTTCTATCTTGCAATAAGTTAAGTTCCTACAATATGACAAACTTGCACAATGCCACCACACAACCGAGACCCGACCCTGCCTCACTCACCTGTCCCATGTAACCCAACACTGTTACACGCCGACATAGAACATCACAACAGCATTCACTACCACCGTCACATAAAACCACAGCAACGCCCTCTACCACCGTCACATAACACAACAGCAACGCCCCCTTCCACCGTCACAGAAAACCACAGCAACGCCCCCTATCACCGTCACAGAACACCACAGCAACGCCCCCTACCACCGTCACAAGATACAACCTCCAGCGCTCTGACTCTAAATCTACTGTGACCGAAGAAGACCATTTTTACTCGAAGATGCAATTCAGCCAAAGATTCGGTTCGATACATGACTCGGTCGAAGAAACTCTCTCTCTCTCTCTCTCTCTCTCTCTCTCTCTCTCTCTCTCTCTCTCTCTCTCTCTCTCTCTAAAATTAAAACTATTCGAATTCAATACTCCATCGGGTTCGTCAGTTTCTCAGTCCTGGGGATAAATTACTCCCGCGTTTCACACTCAAGAAGTCGATAGGTGAAACTATCTTCCGTGTGGTGGACGGATGCCAGTAGGTGCTAGTAGATAGTGGTAGATGGGGATAAATGGTGGTAGATGGGGATAAATGGTGGTAGATGGGGATAAATGGTGGTAGATGGTGGTAGGTGGTGGTAGATGGTGGGAGGTGGTGGTAGAGGGTGACATGTGGTAGTAGATGGTGGTAGGCAAATGAGTACAGGTGGTGGAAGGTGGGGGTAAATGGGTGAAGGTAGTGGAAGATGGTGGTAGGTAGATAAACAGAAGTGGTGGAAGGTAGGTAGGGAGCACCGACGGAGGCAGGTAGGTGGTAGTAGGTGGTGGTGGAAGGTGGGGGCAGAAGGTGGAAGGTGGGGGCAGGTGGTGGGAGGTGAAGGTGGGGGCAGGTGGTGAAGGTGGGGGCAGGTGAAAGGTGGGGTGCAGGTGGTGAAGGTGGGGGAGGCAGAAAGGTGGAAGTGGGGCAGGTGGTGAAAGGTGAAGGGCAGGTGGGGGCAGGTGGTGAAAGGTGGGGGTGGTGGGCAGGTGAAGGTGTGGTGAAGGTGGGGCAGGTGGGGGCAGGTGAAAAGGTGGGGGGTCAGGTGAGGTGAGTGGTGGAAGGTGGTGGGTGCAGAAGGGAAGGTGGGGTGCAGGTGGTGAAAGGTGGGGTGCAGGTGGTGAAAGGTGGGGGCAGGTGGTGGAAAGGTGGGGGGCAGGTGGTGGAAGGTGGGGGCAGGTGGTGGAAGGTGGGGGCAGGTGGTGGGAACAGGTGGTGGAAGGTGGAGTGCAGGTGGTGAGGACAGGTGGTGGCAGGGGAGATGCAGGTTGTGGGTGGTGGAGCAGGTGGGTACAGGTAGTGGAAAGTGGGGGGGCACGTGGTGGAAGGTGGGGTGGAAGGTGGGGTGGAAGGTGGTGGCAGGTGGTGGCACTCTACAGGGGCAGTGGCTCGGTGATGAATGATCCAACATGTTCCAATATTTATGCAAATACGACCATGTGGCGTGTCTTCCCTACCCTCATTCATCTCTCTCTCTCTCTCTCTCTCTCTCTCTCTCTCTCAGCTTTTTTCTCTCTTCATGGCCCTTTTTCATCGTCTCCTTTCTCCTCCTCTTCTTGATCTGCTTTTCCTTTATCTCCTTTCTTCCACTTTCTTTCAAACTTTCTCCTCTTTTATTTTCCTTTTCTTTCCTTTTTAACCTCTATTTCCTAAGCTTAACACGAGAGAGAGAGAGAGATGCGGAAAAGTCACAAGAATAGGTTTACCAATCTCTTCGTTTTTCAGGTTGTACTTTCTCACACGTATCCCTACCTTCCGTCCGCTCCCAATCACACCCAATCCTCAATAAATCACCTCTAAGCCGCATCCAATTATCTCTAATCCGCACCCAATCACGACCAATCCGCTCCCAAATCATGCCTATTTCACTTCCAATCATGTCCATTCTACACCCAATCACACTCATTCCGCATCCAATCAACTCCAATCTGCACCCAATCACCTTTAATCTGTACCCAATTACCTCCAACCCGCTTCCAAACACGCCCAATCCGCTCTCAATCACGCCCAATCTACACCCAATCCACATCCAACCGCACCAAATCCTCCCTTATCAGGTCGAGATTGGCTTTTCCATTATGTATTAGCGAAGATGATGTTTCTTGCAGGCGGTGACCTGATGGCTGGCGCTCGGCTTCACAATTCCTGCCATAATGATTTTGATATTGGTCCATTATGGCTAGGGGCTTTAACAGGTGATGGGGGACAGGTAAACTTTGCTGCCATTGTGTTATAGTGTTAGCTGTTATTGTGAGTAAGCGTGATGATAATACTAATACTAATATGAAAACAACAATAACAATAATAATAATAATTATTATTATTATCCGGTAATAATAATAATAATAATAATAATAATAATAATAATAATAATAATAATAATAATAATAATAATAATAATATAAAACAAACGGGGTATGCAATTTCAGTCAGCAGAGGTCAGGGGTCACCTTGACTCAGCAGAGGTCAGAGGGTTCACTTTGACTCAGCAGAAGTCAAGGATCACCTTGACTCAGCAGAGGTCAGGGTTCACCTTCAGTCAGTAGGGGTCAGAGGTCACCTTGTGTCAAGGGTCACCTTGAGTCACCAGGGGTCAGAAGTCACCCTGAGTCAGCAGAGGTCAGGGGTCAGTTTAGTCAGAGGAGGTCAAATGTCACCTTAAGTCACCAGAGGTCAGGGGGCAGGGATTACAACACAACAAGTTAGCAGAGGTGTACTTGTGGTGGCCGCTCACGTCTCTCCCTCCTAACTTAGCTCAAGGCCTCCAGAGTACCGCCATTCCACACTCTACATGCAGTTCACGAGGTTCTCGGAGCTCTGACCCATCTGTCTCCACCTGCTTTGTACCACTGCACAAAATATCAATTGAAGTCCGTCAATAAAATTCCCAAAGAAAATCCCACTATACTAATTCTCACTTGTAAAAGCCCATGGAAAGAAAGTCCGATTGTAGAAAAGCAGCTAAAAGTCTAAGTGAATAATATCCCAGAGGACAAAAATCCCATCACTGGTTGAATAACAATAAGGTGGACAAAATCCCACCAACAGTAACTACCTTGTGCTTCGGGGACACGACTCCTTTACTGGAATATACAACTCATTCTGATATTCAGTGTTTTAAAACCTTCCGAGGCCATTAATCAAGACTGTTTTTTATTGCTTTTCTTCTGTTTTCGGTGAGACAGCAATGGGGTAACTGGTAAATTACATACAATGGGTCTTACTGGCAGTCTTCACCATAAATTTAGGACCTACTAGATCGAATGCCAACTCCGTTTTTTTCCCCAAGACAAATGGAAAGCCACCGTGATATAACCCACCGATCACGTTTGTCATGGGTTGTGTTAGGCTTACCCACGCAACCACCGCCAAAGTTTGTTTTACTAGAGATAAGACGCCCGGCGAGGCATAACTGGGACATGTATTTTTCAATTAGTGTATGTTAGCCAGCCTTTAGGGGGGTGGGCAGTGAAACAGTGTTGTACTGTTCATCGTTTCACACCCAAAAACCTCATTTTAAGTAGTATCCCCTGAGCCATGGGTTAGTTAAGAAGTCGTTCCCATCCTCTCCCTCCTGAAAGGGAGCGGGACACCACACCACACAGAGCCCTCCACCGCCACTCCGTCCTGTGGACCATGATCGACACGAGACTAAGCGTGTTAACCTAGGTTTGTTATCCCCGTGGAAATATCACGTGTGGAAGCCTGGTTGCGACAAAAGCAATCCAGGCTGGTCTATTGCACCTAAATGGTTAATTCAAGTCACGCTTACCAGTTCTCGTTGCTGCGACAACCGCCTACAGTGACTGTCAGTGAAGCGAGACTATGTGTGGTAACCCAAGAGTACTTTTTGTTGTTATGGCCGTGGAAAGAAGTTCTTGTGATGAAGCCTGGTTGTAACAAAAGCAATCCAGGCTGGCAGTAAATGTATCACTTGAAGAATTAGACTCTGTTAAGTCATACCCACAGTAGAGTAATCACATGTGTCCCCAAGTTGGAAATTCCCTGTTTTAGAAGAATAATTTTATT